AATTGTTAGCTCCTCTGTTAGCTTCTCTGTAAGCTAAATTGTGACCAGGTGTTGGACTGTGACTAGGTGAGTACAGGGGACCCTCACCTTCTGGAAGTATCCTCTCTTCACTGAGACGTCCTTCACTTGTCTGAAATAGACGTAACCAAAGAAATGGGACACTTCCCTCTGAGGACACCAGAGAAGATAAAGTCAGTTTATAGGGAGAGCGACAGGAAGTGCTATTATATCCCAGAATTCATTTCTATCATGACGTTGAATGTTTCCTTAAGAAACAGAACCAGACAGAAATAAACACCAACGTCATAATGAACTATGACCATCAATCATGCTGTGTAATAACAGGGTGAACTCTAATCAATCAATCAATCAATCAATCAATCAATCAATCAATCAATCAATCAATCAATCAATCAATCAATCAATCAATCAATCAGAATTACATTGAGATAACTGAAAGGACCTCAACATCTAACATGTTCTTTTTTAAATAGAGCAGAAACGTTGATGACAGTCTTTGATGAATCTGATGATCCAGTAAAAACTAATCAATCATGTTATTGACAAGCTGATGGATCAATGACAGCAGCTTTTTCCCTTTGTGAACTCACCTGCAGAGTAACAGGAGCGTCTCGGTTATAAGCATCGTCTCTGAACCTCGAAGCTCTGCGACCGACCGACTGACGTAACCTGAAGCTGAACTGAGTGTCCCCGAGGCATCCTGGGAATTAACACAGACAGGTCATGTGACCTCTGACCTAGAGCATTGATCAGTGTTATTAGATGGTAGAGTTTACCTGAGTACGAGTCAGGGAAGGACAGGTAGCATATGCTGGTTTTCTGACAACAAACATCAACAATAAAGTGATCAACTAGTGATCAATAAAGTGAATGTTAGTCCACAGTGATAATCAGAGCAGGTGTAGAAAGACGTCAAATTTACCTCCTTCTCAGTGAGTTTCACATCTGGAGGATAAACCAGCTGAAAACGCCCAGAAAGAAAAAAACGTCCTTTCAAAATTATGCAAATTTAATCTTTGTCCATCAACAACCTGTAAAATGGCAGAAATACACCTGAGAATATAATGTTCACTTCAGCTGCATCATCATGTCAATAACATCCAAACCAGCCTTCCATTCCCACAATCATCCAGTGAACAGCAGCAAGAATTCATTCATTCATAAATGTTGTTTGTTGACTGGAGTCATGCCGAACTGAACAGTACACTATGGATATCAGTCATTTAATATCGGTCACTGAACAGCTAACAGCTTTTAGCAAAGCGAAGGTCGAACTAAATGATTGTCAGTTTTATGAACGGAGTTTGGTGTAAGTAGCAGAACACGGTGGAGGAGCGCAGGGGAGATCTGTGGGTCACTGCTGACATGATGCTGTTACGGCACAAACCAAATCACATGTCAAATTCTGCTAATTTAACGACTGTTAGCCTTTCAGTGAGACGGAAACCGTGTCTTCGAACCTTTCAGACATCCCAAGGGTTGAACGTTGACTTCGGCTTCACATCATCACCAGTCCCTTACATAAAATGCTAACTTTTATTTGTCTTTCTGTCTGCTTGACAGCAGCACGAGGTGTGAAGAATCTATTAAATTAAAAAAGGAAAACAGCTGTTTGGTTCACTGATGCAGCTAAACAGTGTACTTCTTCATTATCACATATATTTTAATTTGAGTCATTATTACTAAGGAACATTTGGGAAGTTAAATCAAAAATACTGTTTTTCAGACGGAGTTCGTTTCACCTGTCTCCATCAACCGTTAAACACGGTTAATAACAGCACAGATTTACTACCACCGTGTTTAACGATTAACGGTTAACGTTTTTCAGATCGGCATCTGAACCGTCTGTTCCGAACTAATATTATTACTGAACATCTAACTGATCGATCACCCTGAGGATAAACGATGCTAACAATGCTAAGCTAACACTGTACCTCTATGGCTTGTCCGAGCTCCAGGTCGAAGGTAACGACACACACACACTCCAACCAGGAGGCGAAGCGGGACCATGGATACCGGCTGTCCCCGCCGCCCGCCACCTGGTCATGCCGCGGGGAACCGGAGCCGTCAAACGAGTTCATCACGACCGCATCAGAGCTCCACAACCTCCATCCGTCTTCCTCCGGTCCTCCATCCACATGAACCGGTAAAGATACCGATTGGGAGCAGAGACCCCCGGTGGACAGAATGAGACACTGCAGCAAGACAACCACGGACCGGGACTGTCGTACCTCTGGATCTTCACTGGTCACTAAAAGTCCTGCTCTCAGTTAATACATCGGGACAATGGGTCATGTTGCTGTGCCTGGGGGGTCAGGGGCGGACCTGAGGACCAGTCCGTGGTTGTATGGATAGACTTGCAGCTCTTTTTTAGTCTTACTGACCACTCAATTACACTCACATTCGCACACTGATGCAACAGCCATCAGGAGCAATTGGGGTTCAGTATCTTGCCCAAGGATACTTCAACGTGTGGCCTGGAGGAGCCGGGGATCAAACCACCGCCCTTCTAATTAGTGGACAACCCACTCTACCTCCTGAGCCACAGCTGCCCAAATGAAAGTCCGTCTTCATGTGGACTCTTTGTATGGGGACCAGAGGACTGTGAGACCCCCTGTCTCTCCTGACTCCCTCTGGAAAGATCCCGTGGTCTGAATTCGTTGTAGAGAGGGTCTGGTTATTCACGTTAATGATATGTAATACATTCAGACAGGTTTTCTACTGCACTGGTCCTGCATGAGGTCCAGGTCTACTGGACTGGATTTAGTGATCAAGTTTGATTGATCAGCTCATTCAGGACAAACACACAGATAAAAGACCAAAAATCACTTTATTCACACGAACAAAAACAATAAACATCAGAAATCAGCTGGAGGTCACTGTAATGTCACAGTGTTGACCTCTGACCTTCATCACCATCATTTTGTTATTCAGACGCTGATTGGCTCCTGCTGGTTGTTCTGACGTTTGACCACAAAAACCTTTTGACCAGAAACTGTCACCGTGTAAACGAAGTCCTCCAGGATCACTGAGGACAGAGGCATGAGGACAGGTGAGTCCAGATGAGTCTGTGTGTGTGTGTGTGTGTGTGTGTGTGTGTGTGTGTGTGTATGTTACCTGACATGCGTTTGAAGGGCGGATCAGTTGATCCAGGTAACCTGAAACGACTCGCTGTTCGAACCATCTCCATCATCACACCAGCTGTGTGTTCATCATTCTCCAGCTCACCTGCAGACTAAGCAGGTGAAAAAATCAGGGGTCAGAGGTCAGGATTATGTCCAACAGACTGGATTCATCTCTACATACATCTCTCTCTATATATAAATATAAAATGAAACACTTCCATGTCTTAAACCAAACTACACAAAAAAGTCAAGAATTTGAACAGTTTCTAGTTTTATGAGTATTTATCATATATAATGTGAATTCATCATTTCATCAACTGTCTCTTTAAATTCACCAGCATCAATACGAAAGTTAAGAATAGATATTTGAATTGAGTTTGTTGTTTGTGTCTCAAACCAAACTTAATGAGTTAATTTAAATTGAACGTTTTCTCATCTCTTACTTGCAGAATTAGACTAAAATTATTTTTAATCATCAGGCCCCAAGTTTCAAACCAGGAGCTAAAAAAAATAAAAAATAAAGGTCCTGATAATTTAATGAGATTATCTTTCTCTTTAATTCTGTGTAAAGGTTTGTGACAGAGATGTGAACGGAGTTTGGCCAGTAACCCGACCGGTAACTGTTACAGATGAAACACTCACAGCCAGGACCCCGTCCTCACTGATGACCAGGTACCCGAGCTGATCCGGGATCCGCTCCAGACCCGCAGTCAGAGCCGCAGTGGTCTGATGACAGCACAGACAGGGTCAGTCGAAGCTAACAGGCTAACTGGTAACAGGCAAGTCAACGTCACAGTTCAATAACTTTATAAATATGAGAAAAACATAATTATTCAAGTGTCTCACTCACCATTCTTATTCTTATTCGTATTCGTATTCGTATTCGTATTCGTATTCGTATTCGTATTCTTATTCTTATTCTTCTGTTTTTACAGGTTGTAGCCGGGTTGTAGCTCAGCTGCACTTCCGTCTTATGATTTTTCACGTGACCGATGAGACCTTCATGTTCTGTTGGAAACTTCAAACGAACATGAGAAGAGAAACCTAAACGGATTATTTATCATTAATTGAGGTAGATTTATGTTCAGACATCTTGACATCACGCTTTATTTAATGATAATAATTCCACTTTTACTTTATTGCATTTATTTCTTACTCTGTATTTTTCATGTCTTCTCTTACATTACTCATGTAATGTATTATGTAATCTATTACTCAGATACATTACTCACATATGTCATCTCATATTACTCACATGTAATAAACTGAACATGTTTTTATCTGAATACACATATTTCTTTTGATGCAGTATTTAAATATTTATCTGCATGAACGACACAAACTATAATAAGTCTTTGAAATCACATCAGCTGTAAAACAAAAAAACCCCGATGAATTGTTTTTATATAATGAATATTGTTTTTTATGGTTATTGTGAGATTAATGACAATATAAACAACGACACTTGAGAAAGTATTACTAACAAAAACAAAGGTACAAATGCTTCATAGTAAAGTAGGGAGTAAGACTGAACCACACAGAAAAATGTGTGTGATGTTTTAACGTTACGTTTGTATTTGTGACTTTTAAAAACTTGAATTAGAGAGTTACAGATTGCCCATGAAGGCAGCTTTACTGTTAACAAGTTTTAATTTGGTCTGTTGAATATGTATTTTTATTATTATAAATAAATATATAATAAAAATACAAAATTAACGTCATATCATCAGTCAGATAAAAGTAAAGGGTCGCTGAAGTTTGGTATAAACCACCGCTTTGATTTTACATTTATTTTTTTATATTTATTTTGACATGTTTCTGTCTCCGAGCAGCAGAGGGCGCGAACCTCTGCAGAACTACACCGGAAGTTGCAATCAGCTGACTCTCACATGATCTGTAAGAGCTCGGTAAAATCATCTGAATTATTTTCTCCGTTTCTCGGTTAAAACTTGATCTTTGAACAATGGCTGGTCGCGGGAAACTGATCGCCGTTATTGGTGACGAGGACACGTGCACCGGCTTCCTGCTCGGGGGGGTCGGTGAACTCAACAAGAACCGAAAACCGAATTTCTTGGTGGTGGAGAAGGACACGAGCATCACGGAGATCGAGGAGACCTTCAAGTAAGAACAGTTCGTTTTCATGCACCAAACTCCATTCAGAAATCAGTCTATTTAACGTTTCACTCATCTGTGAATGAAGCGGTTTCTTTGACTGTACATGTTTGTAAAAATCAGAGGCCAAAGGTCAACTCAGAACGTAAATCATCCAGGAAACAGCAACATGAATTCAATGAAACATCTGAACTGATTTCCTAAACACTGGATTCACAACAATCAAGCGTCAGCTGGAATGTTATTTTGATCATGAAATTGAATGATTATGGCCTTGTGTGTTTTGGATCCATAATCTCATTAACCTCAAACCAAACTCCTCTTCAGCAGTTTTCTTGTTTATGAACTCTCTTTAGAACTTGGCTGAAAATAGTTGTAATCATCAGGGACCAGAAGTCAGCTCTGTGTAAAAAATGAATGATTTTTTATAAATGCTGAATTCACAATTTACCAGGATCAACAAAATATTAAATTGGTAGAAATTTGAATAGAGTTCTGTGGGTGTCGATTCAGAAACCAAACTCTATTCAGAAACCACACAGTTCAGTTATCTATTAATCTGTTGTAAAACAATTAACTGTTTTTCAATCATCAGGCGACATTTTTAAATTAAACTAAATCTTCTTAAATATTTAACTCCTCAGTCGTTCCTATGAATCCATGAAACATAAGTTTATATATGAAATATAACGTATAAAATAAAATTTAGAAATATATATTTATAAAATATAGGTTAACTTTACTAAATGCACCATCATTGGAAATTTTAAATTGATAGAAATGTGAATGGAGTTTGGAGTGGTGTTGTCGGTTTGTCCTGCTCCCTGCTGACTTATTCTCTCTGCGCAGGAGTTTCTTGGCGCGTAACGACATCGGCATCATCCTGATTAACCAGTTCATCGCCGAGATGATTCGTCACGCAATCGACGCTCACATGCAGTCGATCCCCGCCGTCCTGGAGATCCCGTCCAAAGAGCATCCGTACGACGCGTCCAAGGACTCCATCCTGCGCCGGGCCAAGGGCATGTTTTCCGCCGAAGACTTCCGATAAACAACGAGCGTTCCCACACTGTGTTGAAGAAAAAAGTCCCTGACATGTTGTTTTCCTGCTCAGTCATGGTGGATCATTATTATATATCGATTTCTTCTTCTTCATTCCTCCTCACGTTGTTTCTGTTTTTATTTCAGTTTCCAGGAAGTAGAAGATTTTTCTGTTTCTGCCTTTTATGGACAAAAATATAAAGTTTTCCTTCCTCTGCTGGAAATGTGTCATGATGGATATTAATCCAAAGTGTAAACAGTGATGTGTGTTTTTGTGTTTATTCAGATGTATTAACTTATTAAATATATATATATACACACACACACATACAAAAATATAAACAATAAAAAATAAATGTTGTCTCTGAAGTTATGCTTTTTCTGTTTTTAATCAGTTTTACATTTTATATTTTTCATATTCACAAAATGTTGATATCAAACGTCAGAGACATGATAATCATGAGGAAGAAGATGATAAATCTCCATAGTTTAATATCATTTATTGTGTGGTGAAGTTTTTTGAAGTAAAACTATTGACTATTGATATTGATTGTCAGACAGTCAGAGACACTAACAGAAGTAAATACGTAAATCCTCTTTAATCATAAACATCAGAGCAGCACAATGAATTAATAAATTATAATGATAAATGAAATAAAGGTTCAACAAGAAGCAGCTCAATGTGTCTGTATGAGAGAAGAATGTCATGATGACATCATCTTATCTGACTTGGACTGAAGCTGCATGGTGACGAACATTAACAGACAAACACACTGATCAGAGGTCAGGGTCGTTCAGCTAATAATGTCCATCAGTAAATATTGAAATGACACTGAAGGTCTTCATCATTCATCCTGTCGGCAGACTGAAGGTCAGCTGACCTTCAGCTACAAGTAAACTGATGATGTTTGACCACTGACGTAAAAACATTGGTTGAAATCTGACCTCAGATCAGAGCATCGGGTATAAAATCAGTGTTAGGGCGAGTCGTGTCCACTCTGACTCACAGACCTGCTCTCTCTCTCTGTAGGATGAAGTCTCTTCTGTCTGTCGCTCTGTTCCTCATGATGATGATGATGATGCTGATGGTGTCTGTGTCTGCTGGTCCTCTTCCTCCTTCCCTCAACCAGACCAGGTAAGACAGCTGAACACACCAGGGTTCAGTGATGTCATCAGTGATGTTATGTGATGATGTTGTGATGATGTGTGTGCAGACATGACAATCAGGACACGGAGAGTTTTCACCTGCCGCAGAACAAAGAGGAAAACTCCACCAGGTGAGTCTGAAGGAAACGTCATGTGACGGAGTTCGTCATCAAACAACACTTTAAGATCGCAGGCATTAATATAAAAAGCTGGATTCATCAGGATCATAAACATAATTATTTAACATTCATGAGGTTTAGTAATTATGAAATAGTTATGAGAAAACCTTGTAATTATAATTTTTTAAAAGAAAAAAACAACATGATATAAGAGACTGAAGAAATGTCTGCTCAGTGTCTGAGCTATGACACAACAATACAGAAATATCAAGTTTCATACGTCGAGACATTTTAATCCTCAGAATTTAATGAGACATCTTTAATTGTTTCTTCTTCCTCTGCAGATTCGAGTCTCGTCAGAACACCAACATGTCGCTGTATGGGTCAGATTCTCACACGCACACGCACACGCACACGCACACGCACACGCACACACACACACACACACACACACACACACACACACACACACACACACACACACACACACACATACACACACAGAATCACACACTGAGTGTTGTTTTTGTCCTCAGGGATGTGACATCCAATGGCAGCTGGAGCAATGCACGTCCCCTCCCCCCTGTGTGAGTAAACCAGGTCTTTAAAACCAGGTCTAAGCTTCCAGTCAGGTTTAAACTGTTTCAAACTGATCTCTGTTTTTTTTTTCCAGCTTCACTCTTCCACTGAACACACTGTAAGATTTCATATTTACCTGTACAGATATTCACCTGTACAGATATTTACCTGTGCTCCACTTGTAGTATTTACAGATGTGGCACTCTGTTGCTTTATGTCTCTGTGTTTCAGAGAATTCTCTCAGGTGTATGTACGACCACAGGGCTTTACATTCTGTCCTTTGACCTCTGACCTCTGTGAAATATTCTAAATTGGCTGAGGGAAACATCAGTGGGCGGGGCCAAACAGTTAACAGCTGTGATTAATGATCTTTGATGTGATAACATCATCATCTCGATAATCATGTGTTTACAAACGGTGTGATGTCATCATGTTGTTATCTTCACACCTGAACCCTTAGACCTGAACCACATGTTGATCTGGTTCAGTGTGACTTCACTTCCTGATGATGTCATTATATCTGATGTCCCTCCAGAATAAAGCTCCAGAGAAACAGAGTATGCAGAACTTCATAGAGAATCCTCCTGTTCTTAAGTTTCCTTCAGTCAGTAGATGAGATCCTGTCACTACACAGGAAACACTGACGTTATGTCTCTGCTGTGTTTTGTATTTGAATTTGTCATATGATAAATATATAAAATAATAATGATTCCCATCATATTTCTGTGACCTGGTTTCAGAGCTTTGATCACAGTTCACAGTGTAAATACTTTGATTCATGTTCACGTGTGAGAGCTCTAACAACACAGAGGTCATGGACAAGGTCAGTCTCACGTGTGTCGTCTTCCTCACCTGCTGTCTCACCTGTGGTCTTCATCTTTATCTGTCTTACACTCAGTGTCATCAGGACTGCCCTGCATGGCTGCTTCCTCCCCACCTGTCTCACAGTGAACCTCGGCTCCTCCCTGCAGGTCGGGGATGAGACTGCTGGCAGTGCCACTTCAGACGCGTTCGGCATTGGAAAGAAATGACAGGAAGCCACTGTTAAATCATCTCCACATGATGTGTTCACTGTTGATCCGTCACATTTTCATCACTGAACAACTTCAAACAACAACTGATGATGATGAGATTTATATTAAAGCTCTTAAACATGCCCCCATGTTCCACAAAAGAAAAAAAATTGGCAGAAAGATTTTTAGAGTGAAGAGTCGCTAACTACGACTCCCATGGTGCATTTTGGTATGAAACAACCAATCACAGAGCTTCTGAATTTCTTCTTTTTCTGTGACTTCTGTAGTTTAAATCAGTTCAGCTGTGGGTGAATTCAGCAACCATGGTGACATGTTTTAAATTCACTACCGCTCTGATTCACACCTCTGACACGTCTTTTTCCCAATGGCAGCCAAGGCTCATGGGTATTGTAGTATTTAGAGTCTGATTCATCAGAAAGAGTGAATCATTCAAACTGGTCAGAACATGTTGACCAGGTTTTTCAGTTTCACCTTCACTGATAGTTTCTGACCCCGAAGAATCACTATGTTCAAACTCTTAAAAACCGTTTATAAATTTCTTGGTGTTTGTAAAATTCTATCAATAAATAGCATTTACAAATCTGACTCCTCGAATTAATGATCGTACTATTATAAAGTGAATAAATACAGACACAACTTGACACTGAATTCTGGAGCTCACATTCATTCCGTCTTAGATGGAGAATAAAAAACATGCGGTCAGAGGTCAAAGGTCAGACTTCAAACTGAGAAAAAAAAATAGTAATAAAAGTAGAAATAATAAAAATGTTTTTTAAACTATCAGCAGACTCTTCATCAGGTGAACAGAACCGAAGATGACTCAACACAACCCCATCTCAATGACAAACATCATCATCAGATACAGTTTAAATAGCAGAGCATGTGTACACTTTGCTTATGTTTGAACAACAGTTAATAATTACCATATCCATATATAATGAAATATCATATTATGTTAGAGGCAAGTAAAAAGATCTAGATGACAAACTTTTGTTCTTATTTATTTATCTCTTTATTTGTGGTTGTTGTGTTGCTGTATTTATTAGATTTATATTGAATAATGTTGTGACCTCACACTCAGGTTGTATAGTCACACAGCTCAGCTGGTGAACCTCCATACAGATGGAGTTCAGTGTGAGCAGTTTGTACTGGTGATGCTTCTGTGTTAAACTGGACCCTATTAATAATATACAGTCTATATCATAATACTCTACACTAATACACTAATCATAGTGTATGAACACGTTCATTTTGTTGTCCACATTTGTCCTACAGGTGGCAGCAGAGGAACAGCAGGTACAGGAAACACTGAAAACTTCAGTAGATGAATCTTACTGTTGTTGGGTTAGAAAAACAACAGTGTCTGTGTCTGTGATTGATTTAATGACTCTTCAGTAAATCAGGAAATGTCAAACATGTTGTGAGTCTGACTGATGAACAGTTTCCACATTTCCACCATGATGAGTCTGTTCTTTGTATCTTCAGTATAAATGGAAAGTCATCTGATCACACCTCCTCCTCCAAACACATGAGGGCAGAGGGCCAGGTGGACCAGAGCTGAGGTCTGAACCCAGATTGAGTGTAATCTGATGGGGCTGAGAGCTTGATGCCCTGATTGGAGGATGTGATGCAGATGGTGAGACAAACCTCTTTCCACTCAGAGGTGGAGGGCCTGACAATAGGTTCCAGTCTGAACCTGAACCTGAACCCAGTCACATCTGAAGTATCTGTAACATGCTGAGGGGTCTGATGTGGATCAGACTAATAACAGTAAAGACCACCAGTCCAAAAACCACCTGCAGTCCCACGTTCATTATGGACTGGACTTGAAGTGAATGTGTCTGAGGAGCAGCTCCAGTAATGAGGCTGAGATCTGAAACCACGGTCAGGACAAGGTCTGGTCTGATCAGGTTTGACCTTCAGTTGGTGTCAGTATGAGCTGGCCCATCTTTGATGGTGTCTGTCACAGATGAAGAGACGTGTGAATCACTGAAGATTATTTCACAGAGGTGAGGAAGAGATGAAGGACAGACATCAGGCTGAAGACAGTTAGAGGATGTCCTGACAGCAACAAGGACACACACACTGTCTCACACTGTCTCAAACAGTCTCACACTGATCACATTGAGCGGCTGTCATCACTGCACTTTAATTGAAACATCAACTATTAACAAACAACATGCATCTAAATGAAGGTTAAACCTTTTCTTCAGTCACGTCACAGTAAAGAGAAAAACTTTATATATATATATATATATATATATATATATATATAAAATCAAAAGTCAGATAAGAATTCTGACCATTTAAAAGTCACAATCAAAAAGCTCAGTAACATATCTACAGTCATTGGGCCTCATTCACCAATATCTTCTTAAGTATTTTACTAAATTCTTAAATTCTTTCTTAAGTTGTTCTTAAGAAAATTCTTAAGAAAACTCCACGTCAGATTT